CACATATAAAAAATCTAAAAGCCAAATGCCTGAAAGCACTCGACTTGTTGAAAGTCGTTTCCAGTTCAAAGTGGGGAAGGGATCAAACCACCCTCCTTCATTTGTATAGATCACTGGTCCGATCGAAACTTGATTACGGCTCTATCGTATATGGTGGGGCCTGTAAAAGCAACCTCAAACTACTTGATTCTATCCATCACCAGGGTCTAAGACTTTGTCTTGGGTCTTTCAGAACCTCTCCCATTGACAGTCTCTACGTTGAGGCCGATGAGCCATCTTTAAAACTTCGCCGTATCAAATTGTCCCTACAATATCTCACAAAGTTATATTCTAATGAATCCAATCCTGCTCACACTTGCGTTTTTAATCCTCTTCATGAGGACTTATATAATAAAAAACCTTCACTTGTTCCACCTCTAGGGATAAGAATCCAACAATATATTTCTGCTGCTGGCATTGAGTTGGAGAATATATCTCCTTCCCGTCTTCTTTCTTCTCCTCCTTGGCAATTAGTGAGGCCACAAGTTGACCTAACACTGACAAAGTTTAAAAAATCCGAAACTAACGAATTACAGTATAAACAAGAATATAATCAATTAAAGAATAACTATAATACATACAAATCCTTATTTACAGATGGGTCCAAGGATGGTGGCGCGGTGGCATGTGCCACTGTCATTGGATCCAGAACAATATCTTCTAGAATACCTGATAACAGCTCTATATTTACAGCAGAAGCAAACGCCATCTTAACAGCTCTTAAATATATTGAAAGACATCCCAAACATAAACAATATATAATATTTTCTGACTCTCTTTCTTGCCTTCAGGCGATTAAAAATCGCTCTTGCAAACATCCACTTTTAATTGAAATAATCGAATTATATAATGATCTTGCTACTGGCCAATGCGACATCGTCTTTTGTTGGTTACCCAGCCACGTTGGCATTTCTGGGAACACAATGGCTGATCTTGCTGCCAAGGCAGCACTCAACAAATCTGTGACACCACTTCTTATTCCATATTCTGATTATAAAGCTGGCATTAGAACTTACATCCGTGATCTGATGCAAAAGAAGTGGGACAACCAAGTAGGTATCAATAAATTACATGAAATAAAACCCTATATCGGTTATACCTACTTGGGTTGTCAGTCCAGATTTGAAGAGGTCATCATGCGACGATGTCGTATTGGCCACACTAGATACACTCATGCATACCTATTGAAAGGTGAGGATCCTCCGTTTTGTATCCCTTGTGATGAGAGAACCACGGTCAAGCATGTCCTGCTTGACTGTGTTGAATTCTCCATCATAAGGGGTAAATACTTCAATGTGAAAACAGTTAAGTATCTTTTTAACACTGTTAATTTTCATTTAATTATTGGCTTTTTAAAAGAAATTGATTTAATGAATGAATTTTGATTAATATGTTCTGTACATATATGTATTTTAATTCTTGGTCCCTAGTATGGTGATCTACCTTCAGTTGTTGGCAATACATAGCCGGTTTTTACCTTGTATTGTCCTATAGTTAGACTGTTTTAGATTTGATTGCTAGTTTTAAATTCGAATCTGTGATATTCTAGTTATTTTACTGTCCTTCGTTGACAGGTTTTTATAGTTTGCCATTGCTTATTATGCATAAAATTAATTGTTCTCGTCACGATATGGCCGAAATATTGCCGATGTGACGTTAAATTTTAACTCACTCACTCACTCCGATCCTCTATTCAAAATGTGTGAATGATCATTGGCAAAAAAGCTGGGTAACCACGGTCTCGAATAAGCTCCACACCCACAAACCACTGATTGGAGGTCTACCCCCTTCTGGTCTATATCGCCATCATGCAGTTGTCTTAGAGCGTTTGCCGCACTGGACATATACTACCCATCGAAAGTTTAGCCTCACTAGTGTGAATGTAGCCACGTACTTCGGTCAACTGTTCTAAACTAGATTTTGCAACATATTCCATACTGTTTAATGGTATTGTTTACACATGAACTGATGTATTGTAAAACAAATTTGTAACGTTGAAAAGATTATTGTCATGAGTTTAATAAATGATGAAACTCAGTGAAAATTGGCGAATTCGTAACAAAGCTTTACACCAAAATGCAGCTGTTCACATGCACAATATTTGCACATGCTTTACAGCATTTTGATGCATGATCCTTGTACAATTCATCTGCTAAAGGTTTGCATTTGGTTCCACCAAAGTTAGTGGAGAACTTCATCTTCGATGTAACCATATATATACTCTCCCAAAAATGAAACGCATCATGAAAAAGGCAATTTCATGTAGCAATGAATTAAAAGTCGATTCATTTTACAAAAGGTTTTGCTCTGTTTATGAGTCCTATGGTGTTTTATGTTTTGAAACATCACAACAAAACGCACCATCCGTAAAATACCCGTATTTAACAGCATGATTTTCAATTTCGGCGCGTAGTGACACAGAATACACAATTCACATGCAATGCACGTAAAAGTTGGGGATCAGATAGTCTCAATGATGGGTATAAAAGGTTGATCGCTGTCTGTCGATTATTCACTTTATTTGGAATATTGTTGATGCCACGTCTAAGTGAAGCCAACCGTGATATCGCCATTGGTTTCCTTGAAGCTGGCCAGTCTCAACGTGCATTTGCCCGACGCATGAATGTTCACCAAAGCACCATTTCATGGCTCTGGGGGAGATATCGCCGGCGGAATTCAGTAGCAGATGCCCCTCGTAGTGGGCAACCTCGAGCAACCACTGCGGCGCAGGATCGCTACATCCGGGTACATCACCTGCTTCATCGAACAGCTACGGCGACCAGTACCGCTCGACAAATACCCGGATTGAGGAGGCTTTCTGCACGGACTGTCAGGAACAGGTTGAGAGAGGCTGGTTTACGTGCCAGAAGACCTTATTTTGGCACTGTGCTCCGACAACAACATCGTCGACATCGAGTTCAATGGTGCACCAACGTTCAGGCCTGGAACCTACCGAATTGGCGTAGAATCTGGTTCAGTGATGAATCACGATTTCTATTGGAACGACGCGATGGCAGAATGAGGGTGTATAGACGTCGACGTGAAAGTTTCGCCGACGCTTGCGTTCCCCAGGTGGACAGATTCAGCCGGGGCAGTGTTATGATGTGGGGGGAGATCACCTCTCGTAGGAGAAGTGATTTGGTGATGATACAGGGCAACCTGACAGCTCAACGGTACTTTGACGAAATCCTACGCCCACACCTCCTTCCAATCATTGATCGCCAGAGGGAGTTGTTTCAACAGGACAATGCCAGGCCCCACACAGCACGTCACACTAGAGATTTCCTCCAGAACCACAACATCAATGTGCTCCCCTGGCCCTCAAGATCACAGGTCTTAAACCCGATCGAACATCTGTGGGATGCCCTGGACAGACGGGTGCAACGCCGTAACCCTCAGCCCCCAGACACTTCAGCAACTCGCACAGGCACTGCAGGCAGAGTGGGCTGCGACAGGACAACACGAGATTCTGAGACTTATTCGTTCGATGCTGAGGCGATGCCGTGCAGTTCTGGATGCCCACGGCGGTCACACGAGGTATTGACTTCAGCGCCACCACACGTCTCCATGTGACACTCAGACTGACTTTCCCCGAGTTAGTGCCAAAGACGGATAAGTTTGCATTCCCAGTGTGCAATTTCGCTATATTTCATTGACTCATAAAGCCTACAAGATGTTTCAAAATAAACATAAACATACAGTTGAAATTCCTATATGCGTTTCTTTTTGGGGAGAGTATACATACATAACATATAGTGAGTGCTTTAAGTGAGTCTAAACTTTTGATTGGTAGTATAGTTTTACACACATTCGTTTTTACCTAAAGGTGACGATTCTCCTTTTTCGAATTACAATCAAGCACATTTTGCATCACTGTTGATTTTGCACTTATCGGACAATGTTTTTATGATTTTTATGTTCATACTTTATCTGAACTTTTTACAACAGTCTCTGACCATCTGATTTTAGGATATTTAAAAGTAATCAAATAGTTTGATAAAATATAGATTTTTATCTCAAAGTTAGTTTTTGCCCTTGAATGTGATAAATGACTGACAATTTTCCTTATGATTTTTAACATATAGTGTATTTTTTGACATTTCTCGCCGCGAATAGCTGCAACATTGCTGATGCGTCCTTAAGCAATATCTACTCACTCACTCTCATGTCATGAGAATATGACAATACACAATCAGCCAATACACATGGAATTATAGCAGTGACATTTTTCATGTTTTGGTTCAAGTCAGTTTGGTTTGTTTGCATATAACTGTTTTACAATTATTGAATATAAAATGGTGTTATAGTGTTTATTGTTTACAAGTAAAATAAGAATAAAAATATTATATAAGTCATAAAACGGTCACTAAAAATATTGAACGTTGGTGGTAGTATTCTAAAGTTTGTGGTTTTATGCGTATGTCAATCATATTGATATTTGGTTATATTTGTCAAGTATTCCAGATGAATTTCATTCATCTGAAACGTTCTTATTATGTTTAGGATTCACAAAATATGCTGGATCGAGAGTATGGTCTCCTTTTGGATTATTGTTTATCACATGACCCTAATTCCTAGCTCTTAATTGGCTAATTTCCAATGCCCATAATTCCAATGCGCCAATCTTAGCACCCCTATGATAACACTTTAGCACAGCACAGCACTCAGGCAACAAGGCAACAAGGTCCAATGGTAGATAAACAACACCAATTAGGTCACATAAGAACTCATGTATCAGCACAACATGGTCTAATCAGTAAGGCTCTATTCAACAAACGGGGCTTGATGTATGATTAAGGAAAATATGTGAATAAACCGCACCTCACCCCTACAGCGAGTCATGTGCTCCATTGACATTACTTGGCGATTTAACCAGCTGTAACAGAATGATCATCCAATCCGCTATATTCTTACGACTAGCGTGGAGTACGTTAAATTCTTACTGGGTTTTTTTCACTTACCTATCAACAAACACCACATCCTCCCTCAACAGACGACACTTATCCTTTGGCCACCGGATCCGAATAAGAGAGTTAGACTTGAGTCTCTGATCACTCAGATTGTTGGCCAACTGTTCGAGTAGCTGGAAGGAATCAAACCGATATTAGCCTGGCACAAAAAGGCAAATATACCCCTACGTAAACATGACAAAAAACAAAACAAATAGCACAGCCTTCTTATGTATACAAGGGCACAATATATTTTTTTTCTCTGTAACCATGGTAACGATAACTGGTATACATCAAATAAGTGCTCCAGTCATTTTGTGGAACAATACAGTTCATTATGCAGATTTGCGTCTGTTCACGTGACGGAAGCCGATGATTTTCTGTTCCGGTATTCCAATCTGAGATTCACACAAGGTCAAGGTCTATCAGCACAATATCTACACTAATGTTTCTTGATATCCTAAGCGGTTGATCATTATGACCAGTAACCCTTGGAGCGTCCTCCCATAAAAAAATAACATGCATTGGTCCTACTCAGGCGTTAATTTTGCTGAGCATAGTTGCCTCCCTTGGGCATGCCAGAATACTATGATCATTGCTTTGAATCCTGGTTCTCTCTGAATGTCTCTAGGTTTGCCAGCACCATGCCTGTACTCTTAGGTTTTACAACATTGATAACCTGCATCACTTTGGGCCTTCCTTCCACATCAAGCATTCCATCACATCCTCATGGACCCTAGTTTGGTGATCTACCTTCAGTTGTTGACTTCTTCAATTAAAATATTTTAGATTTAAATTCTAGTTTTATATTCATATCTGTGATACTCTAGGATGTTTACTTCCATCGTCGATAGATTTTACGCTTCAAAAGGTTTTCATTTTTATTGTATAAATGTTTTCGTCACGATATGGCTGAGATATTGCTGATGTTACATGAAATATTAACTCACTCACTCACTCATTCCATCACGAAGGATAAATATATCTCAATGTCAAAACAGTTAAGGATCTTCTTAATGTAAATTATCAATTATCATCGAATTTTTACAAGAAATTGTGGTTTGAGAGGCCGTTTGCCTCTTTTCATATCACAGTTTTTAAAAGACAGGCAACTTCAAGTCCGAGTGGGTTCAACCCTGTCAGACCATTATAATCAGGATCAGGGTGTACCACAAGGAAGTATTTTGTTTGTCACTTTATTTAGCATTAAGATCAACAGCTTATCCAAGGTTTTAAATGATTCAATTGACGGATCACTTTTTGTAGATGATTTTAACATTTCTTGTCGCGGTAAGAATATGCATACTATTGAACGGCAACTACAGTTGTGTTTAAACAAAATAAATAAATGGTGTCTTGAAAAAGGCTTTAAATTTTCTAAATCAAAAACTAATTGCATACATTTCTGCCGTAAATATAAACCACATAAAGACCCAGAACTGTTTTTAAATGGCATTCCCATCAAGGTTGTAAAAGAGGCCAAGTTCTTGGGTCTGATTTTCGACTCCCTTTTAACTTTTCTTCCGCATATCAAATCTCTAAAAACTAAATGCCTAACGGCACTCGATTTATTGAAAGTCGTTTCTAATTCAAAGTGGGGAGGGGACCAAACTACCCTCCTACACCTCTATAGGTCACTGTTCCTCTCGAAGCTTGATTATGGCTCTATCGTATATGGTGGAGCCTGCAAAAGCAACCTAAAACTGCTAGATTCTGTCCATCACCAAGGTCTAAGACTTTGTCTTGGGTCATTCAGAACTTCTCCTGTTGACAGTCTTTACGTCGAGTCAGATGTACCTTCTCTTAACCAACGCTGTATAAAATTATCTTTACAATATATTACAAAATTATATTCTACCGAGTCTAATCCTGCATTTCACTGTGTCTTTAATCCTCCTTATGAGGATTTGTATAACAAAAAATCTTCTCTTGTTCCGCCTCTTGGGCTCAGAATTAAGCCATTTATTGCTGCTGCCGGCATTAAGCTGGAAAATATAGCTCCTTCCCGTCTTCTTTCTTCTCCTCCTTGGCAGTTAGTTAGACCAGAAGTTGACTTAACACTTACAACATTTAAAAAATCGGAAACAAATGAATTGCAATATAAACAAGAATACAATCAATTAAAAAGTAAATATAATACATATAAATCCTTATTTACAGATGGGTCCAAGGATGGTGGTGCAGTTGCTTGTGCCACTGTCATTGGATCCAAAACAATATCTTCCAGATTACCCAATGACAGTTCAATTTTCACAGCAGAAGCAAGCGCAACACTTACAGCTCTAAAATATATTCATAAACATCCTAAATATAGAACAATATATAATATTTTCCGACTCTCTCTCTTGCCTTAAGGCTATTAAAAATCTTTCTTGCAAACATCCACTTTTATTAGAAATCATAGAATTATATAATGATCTTGCTACTAGCCAATACGACATCGTCCTCTGTTGGTTACCCAGCCACGTTGGTATTTCTGGGAATACTTTGGCCGATCTTGCTGCCAAGGCAGCACTCAACAAATTTGTGACACCACTTCTTATTCCATACTCTGATTATAAAGCCAGCATTAGAACTTACATCCGTGATCTGATGCAGAAGATGTGGGACACTCAAGTAGGTGTTAATAAATTACATGAAATAAAACCCTATATTGGCTACACTTACTTTGGTTGTCAGTCCAGATTTGAAGAGGTCATCATGCGACGATGTCGTATTGGTCATACCAGATATACTCATGAGTACCTATTGAAAGGTGAGGATCCTCCGTTTTGTATCCCTTGTGATGAGAGAACCACGGTCAAGCATGTCCTGCTTGACTGTGTTGAATTCTCCATCATCAGGGATAGATATTTTAATGTCAAAACAGTAAAGGACCTTTTTAGTAATGTTAATTATCATTTAATCATTGATTTTTTATCTTGATAGACTTGTTAAATGAATTTTGAAATATGTTTTGTAAATAGATGAGGTTTTATAATTGGTAGTTCAGATTTTCAACTTAGATTGTTAGTGGCTGTATCCTCAAAGGGGGTTGAAGTAGCGTACAATTATTGACTTCCTGAGAGGGTACGTAAGTCCCAAAAACTTTCAAAGTAAATTTAGGCTTGCCACGTTTTTAATCGTAGAATATGTGTGCTTTTAATTTATGGCTAGATTTCTCTTCTGTCGCCAATGGCTGAAGGGATGGTGTAAATCCAACTAGGGTCCATGCAGGTAGCAAAGGTACTGTAAGTCCCCATGGACCCTGGTATGGTGATCTACCTTCAGCTGTTGGTGATCTATAGCCCGTTTTTATTTTTGTACTGTCTATTGTGATTTAATTTTACGTTAGCGTTCTAGTTTTAAATTTATATAGCTGTGATGTTCTAGTATTTCTACTGTCCTTCGATGACAGGTCTTTATGTTCCAACCTCATTGATTTTCATATTCATATCAACTAGATTGTTCTCGTCACGATATGGCTGAAATATTGCCGATGTGACGTTAAATCGATAACTCACTCACTCCCTACAAGAAATCGAATTACTAGAAACTTTTTATATGGTTTGTAAATAGATAAATATTTTAGATTGGTAACTGAGACTGTTAGTGGCTGTACCCTCAAAAGGGGTTAAAGTACTGTAAAGTTATTGTCCTCCTGAGAGGATACGTAAGTCTCAAAACAATTATAGTAAATTTATACGTTATATGTTATTTTAATATAGGCTAGATAGTCCAAAATTGCTAATATCTGAAGGGATGGTGTAAATCCAGCTAGGGTCCATGCAGGAAGCAAAGTATTGTATGCCCCTTGGTCCCTAGTATGGTGATCAACACTCAGGTGTTGGCAATCTATAGCCTGTTTTTAAATTGTATTGTCCTCTATAGTTAAAATGTTTTAGATTTAATTACTATTTTTTACATATACAGCTGTAATAATCTAGTTGTTTTACTGTCCTTCGTTGACAGTTTTTTTTATTATGTACCTTTAATTATTATTAAACTATAACTTGATTTAGTCACGATATGGCTGAAATATTGCCAAAGTGACTTGAAATTTTAACTCACTCACTCAGTCACTCAAAGGGGGTTGAAGTATTGTAAAAGTATTTTCCTCCTGAGAGGGTACGTGATTTCCAAAGCATTTAAGGTAGATTTAAACCTACTATTATATTTAATCGTAGTATTCATGTTCATTTATTTCATTGCTTGATTGTCAAAAATTGCTGACAGCTGAAGGAATTATAATAATAATAATATAATAAATGTGAACTTGTAATGCGCCTTTTCCATGCACAAGGCCCATGCTCAAAGCGCTAGCAAAGTGAGTGGATAATATACATATATACAATAAGGGACTAGTTGCTAGTCATAATGCAGTGAAAACAGATGAGTCTTGAGAAGTCGTTTGAAGGAATAAAAGTCAACTGCTGATTTAATGGCGATAGGGAGAGAGTTCCAGAGTAGAGGGGCAGAGCAGACAAAGGATTTCCTTCCAAAAGTTTGCAGTTTGAACCGAGGCACAGAGAGTAGGTTCAGATTCTGAGAACGGAGCTGTCTTTCTGGAGTGTACGGGGTAAGAAGTTCTTCCAAGAATTCTGGGCCTATGCCATTGAGGCATTTGTAGACAAAACACAATATTTCAAAATCAATTCTTGATTTAACAGGCAACCAGTGGAGGTTTTTCATGACAGGTGTTATGTGTGAGCGCTTTGAAGTTCTGCTTATGATTCGGGAGGCTGTATTTTGGACATTTTGCAATTTTGATAGCAGCTTCTGAGAAATACCAAAAAGGAGGCTATTGCAGTAATCAATTCTTGATATAACAAGTCCCTGGACCAGACCGTGTGCTGCATCACGACTGATGAGATGGCGTATTCTGCCAATGGCTCTTAGATGAAAGAAGCATATTCTGCAGAGTTGATTTACATGAGTGTCCATCGCCAGGTGTGAGTCAGGTGTAACTCCAAGGTCTTTAACAGAGTCCACTGCTTGTATCTCTGCATCTGCTACCAAAACAGTTTTGGTGGTAATTTGTTTTTGCATTTGCCTGGGTCCAATAACCATCACCTCAGTTTTGTCATCATTTATCTTTAGCAAGTTGTTTGTCATCCATGACTTAACATCTTTAGTACAGTCTGTTATTTTATGA